GCATATTAGGATGCCAACATTTGAGACTTCCTGGAATGTCATTAATTTGTTTGTATTTTGTAACCAATAATAATATCAGAAACATTTGCATTATTTTGCAACCCAAAAATAAGCCAATCAATGATGAAACATTTCAGTAAAAACATGTGAATCTCATGTTGATGTTTGCGGAAAAGTATGGGGATCATCAAAGCCAAAGAGATCATCATCTGGTGACTATGAACGGCTTTACAGTGATGAAAGGGCAAGATATTTAACACGAACATTTGATCAGAGTAAAATGCAGAGTCAATTGTTTATCCAGCTATATTTCAACAGCTCTGTGACCCAGAGCGAGACAGCATGAGCTGCAGCGCTGCTGATACACTTCCCACCCCGTCACCCCAGGGCCTTGGACATCACCATTCTGCTGACAGCCTCCATACACAAAACAGGAATGGATGCATTTATTTTCCACAGTCACAGTAAGACAAAACATATATCCCCAGTCATCCATATTGTGTGTATGGGGTTGGACAGAATATACAACCCCTCCTTCTGTCCTCCCAACATCCTCCCTCTCTCCTCTGCAGCAGACCCCACTGAAGAGCCACATCTGCAGGAGCAGGCGCTGGCAGCATATCTGTGTTCAATTAGAGAGCAACATCCCCATCAAACAGTCCCGCAGCACATTTACCCCAACTTCCACCCTCCAGGGTGGAGCTGCAGACAGAATGTTCCCTCTCTGTCTCTCCCTTTCTGTTGTGTTCCCTCCTCTCCTTCATTAAATCAGGGAGTTCACATGCATTAGTAAATACTTTTTCTTGGCCCGAAGCTTTTTAATGTTCCACTGGGTTGAGTTGACAAGCCTCCTGGAAAATGTGGAGGTCTTGAAAAGCTCATGTTTTTGACATTACATCTATATGTAAAGCAAGAAAGAAATCTTATGTTCTGCTTCTACTGTGCAGAAGACCAACAAATAACCTTAACAGTCACATGACTCGCACAGCCACATGTTGCTTTGAACTCATGTGGCTTTGTTTTACTTGTATGTCTCGCCTCGCACGTCATCAAAGAACCCACACATTGCCCTTTCTTCTTCACAGAGACCTCCCAAGATGGTGCAGATCTTCAGAAACTCAATTTGGTCCGAAAATAAATGAGATTGTTTGGGGACAGGGATGAAATAACAGAAGAGAGGTGTGCTGTTTGTTCTCCTAAACAAAAACATATTTAAAATCCATTTCATGTATTTGTTGTTACAGCTTTTACAGGCTTCTGCAAGCAATGATCTTTGCAAGAGCTTCTCATTGCACTTTGTGTGGTAGGAACACTGAATGACGCACGAGTATGAACACGAGTGGAAAAAGGTTGAGCTGCCAGTCTTTCATTTGTTCTGTAGTGCCTCTGTGCCTCTGCAGCTATAATACGGTGATGTATCCACATGTAGTCCTATCCTCCACAAGGAGCATCCATAATGAAGTGCATTAGTCCTGAATGTGTGTTTTTGTAGAGTAGGCTACAATGAGGAGAAGAGTGGAGGGATGAGGTACAGGTAGAAAGGGTGCTGGTAGAAAAGAGCTCTTTGGAGAGTAATGTGTATACAATGGCTTCTCTTTGAAAAAGCAACTGCTTGTTTCCCATGCAAAAATATCGCTTTGCCATCACAGAAGAGTGAGGCAGAGGTGAAGTGCAGCGCTCCATAGCGAATACGGGAGGAGAAGAATAGTGGGAATGTGTAGATTTATCAAAGGATTTCAAAGTGTGCAGATACAGGGGGAGCTTCACAGAAATCCCATATCGTTAAAGGCTGGTCATTGATTCATTGAAGAAGATTATTCAGCAGGGATGTTATTAAGTAAGGATGATTAGCATGACGAAGAGGAACATCATGTGAAGAGCAGGCGACGGTTTGTGATGCATGCCGTTAGCTTTTCCGAGGAGCCGATGGAATGATAATAGTGACGAGGAGGACCTCCGCTGCCTCATATCACGCTCAGTCATCTTCACACTCAGTAAAGTCAGCACATTTCTGCTGCCATTAAATGTACTATGGCTCAATGGGGAGTGACACCGCACACCATCAGTGTCATTGTAATGAAATTCAAGAAATATTCTCCTCTTTATGCTTGGAACAATCATTATTACTAAATACTCTGTTTAAATGACTGGCATTACATGCTTGGAAGTCATGTATTATTCACCTCACTTCATCGAGGAACTAATGATTTTCTTTTTACCCAGAAGTCTACGCTCCATCGGGCAACGGGATAATTGTTCCCCCTGTGTGATAAATTCAGCTTGGCAGACGTTATTCTATCTCGTATACATAACTTACAGGTCTGAAGTTAACAGGGCTTTACTTAGTGATGGCAGACATTGGTTGCAGTGACCCTGTAACCAGCGGCAACATGTTCTTTAGTTCAATATTCAGTGATGTGAGCTGATTTGAAAATGCACAGCGAAGAGCTCCTCACTGATTTACACCGTAGGCTATGAGGAGAGTGATGGGAAATTTTAATGAGGACTTTGTAAAATCCCATTTGCTCGCATGCATCGAGATCTTATTGGTGTTCTCTAGAAAAATCAGTTATTGCAATTATTGTTACCTACCAAGCTGAAGCAATTTTACAAACTTTGAAATTTTTGAAATGATTCAAATAATGTAAGTTATCAGATATACGGACGCTCTGTGAATATTAAAAGCCAAACACCATTCTAGGGCTGTACCCGAATATTCGACTATTCGAATATTCGTTCGTTGGCCAACTATTCGGGTTTTAATTTCATTATTCGGATATTCGTTTTTTTATTTTTTTTCTATTTTTTTTCCTAAATGTATGCTATCAATAAAGGCGAATTGCCATATTCTTATACTATATTTATACTTTTGAATTGCACTGTTAAAATGCGGAAATATATACAATCTCAGCCTGAGCTCCTGACATCGCGTTCACAGTCACGAACGCAAACGGCGCGCTTCACCTCGCTTCACACACCGGAACACAAAATGCCGAAGACTTCAGCTGTGTGGGACCATTTGAAATTGGACGACGGTAAGAAGAAGGCAGTGTGCCAAATATGCGACAAGAAACTGGCCTACCACGGTGGCACAACAACTCTGAAAAGTCACCGGATGCTGTAAATACTAGTCTAGCTTAGTTTAGCTGTTGTCAAGTTGCCGTGATGAAGCTGCTTTATCCGCCGTTTAAACAGTAACGTTACACATGATAAAATCGTGCACTTACTTTGCTTGGAAAATCGTTGCAAGCAAGCAACCGAATTGTTTTTTTATATTAGTTTTTCAATTTGATCCGAATAGTGAAAATAATAGGAGCAATGTGGGAACATCTGGGGCTAAGGCAATTATTGGCATACAGTTCGTTCATTTATTTTTCGTTCTTCATTTATTTAAATACTGTTTACTGCATCGGTAACAAGTGTTACACTGTTAGGCCTACTGTTACGGCTATGTTATTAAAAGTATTGTTGTTATAACAGAAATATGTGTTTTGTATCTTCAGGTTGTAAAACGTTATAGACGGAATTTGGAACCGGATTTGGTCCCCGGGCGCTGCGCTGCGGCTGGGTTACATGCAGAGGACACATTTAGTTTTAATGTATGCGAGTACTGCGACAATAAATAAATATAAATCGTAATAGTATGCTCTTTCTGCGCTTCTGCTTAACAGCGTGTTGTCAGGTGTCTCGGATTCGGAGCGTGTTATCTGTTATGACATTTTTTTGAAAAAAAATTGTTTTATTAAATAAAATAAAAAATCTCTCCGCATCGAATATTCGCTGCTGATTACTACCGAATATCTGGAGCCCGAAAAATGGTATTCGGGACAGCCCTACACCATTCACTGTGGCAGGAATGCTAAATATCTTCTCACAGCAGTTTTGTTACACTTCAAACTGCATACATGTTGATTACAATGTAATGAAGGCTTATTTTCTTTTTGGTTTCTGAGAATGTTAATAGTTATTACTTTGTGGATCTGTGTAAGCTTTAGTCAGTCACTTATTCAATTAGATGCCACATTGTCACTGTTTCATTTCAGAAGTTGCACGAGTTCAGTAACATAGTAGGGGTTAAGAGGGTGTGTGTGTGTGTGTGTGTGTGTGTGTGTGTGTGTGTGTGTGTGTGTGTGTGTGTGTGTGTGTGTGTGTGTGTGTGTGTGTGTGTGTGTGTGTGTGTGTGTGTGTGTGTGTGTGTGTGTGTGTGTGTGTGTGTGTGTGTGTGTGTGTTGGTCCGATCATCACTGCAGGTCACTGAACTGCAGCAGGGTTATTCTACTCTCAATCTTTTTGCTATTTTACAGTCATACAGTCCACCGCTATAGAGAAGAGGACAGGCGTACTATAGTAATTTCAAAATAAAAGCATATCATGAAGATGACGATATGTGTCGATGTGTTCACTCCTTCCAACAACGTTATGGATCATTTATCACTAAATCGATCCATATCATTGTAGCCGGTGGGAGCTAACACTAACCAGCACAGAGAGCCTGACATTACAACACAAACACACATACAGTGAATTAATTATCTGCTCAGGACACATTATTGCATAGCAAAAAGTTGTGTGTTGCTATGTTGATGCTGTGAACACCATATATAGAAAGCGGTTTCAAGCTGTGGGTTGTTTTTGCAGGGCTCTCGAAACAACAGTTTGTTTTTAAGGACATCATAGAATTGGTAATCTCTCCCACTTGTTGGGGGAATTGCTTTACTTCTTGAAGGTCTTTCGGACTGCATTTGGCTCTTATATTTCCCAAAGCAATTATAGTCATAGTGAATTTGGTTGTCTTCCGCTCCATGGTGGGCTGTGGGGACTTTTCTTTTTTTACAGGATTGGGCTTCAGAGTGTTTGAATGCAGTTATTATGGTCAGAGACACAGCGCACTCTAGTGGTGATGGATGACACATCGCCCTCTGTGGTTTTATTTGAGTGTTAAAAACAATGAGGCATACAAGCAGGTGTGTGTAATCGTTCCGCTCCTCTCTTTTTTTCAGGGGTGTGTGAGTGCTCAGACTTCACCACTGGGATGACCTGTGAGCACTGCCTGGATGGTTACTACGGCAACGCTTTGATTGGCACGCCTGCGGACTGTCAGCATTGCCCTTGCCCGGACCGAACCAGCTGTGCTGAAATTGCTCAGACAGGACAGGTGGTCTGCACCAACTGCCCTGCAGGACAGACAGGTGAGACAATATCTTTTTCTTTTTTTTCTGGCACCACCCACTCAATATTTCTCTTGAAGTAAATGATGAGAACAAAAAAGCTAATTTGCAGGGATTCATTTGACAATGCCACCTTTGATTCACACATCTGATATTACATTTAGTTACATCAGAGTCAGAGGTGACATGGGGGATGACCTCCAACCTCATTCATTCATCCTGTCTTTTGCTTTCACCTGTCGTCGTCGTCCCCCATGTAGGTATCCGGTGTCAGATGTGTGAAGATGGTTACTATGGTGACCCACTGGGACAATCTGGTTCGGCTCGCCCGTGTGTGAGATGCGACTGCAATGGTAACGTGGACCTCAACGCGCTGGGAGTGTGCGACCACCTCACCGGGCGATGCCTTAAGTGCCTGGGACACACAGAGGGAGAACACTGTGAGCGCTGCCAGAGGGATTTCTACGGCGACGCCCTCAACCATACAGCTGTGCAGAAGTGCAAAGGTGAGTAACTGAGGAGAGACTCATGCTAAATCATTATTTATGTAGAGGTGGTGAAAGAGAGCGATTCTATTTTGGCCAGAGAAGTCCCTCCTAAAAATGTACTTTACTTCTACTACTGTTGTTTGAGCTTCCCGCTGCAGACACTAAAATAACTGCTGTTTTTCATACAACTTTCACATATAATCCATTCATCTGTGCTCATCTTAAATCAGAGTGTCGGATGTGTACACTGAGCATGACTTGTGACAAAACAATTGATTGGATGTCAATCATGGTCCAATGTGCAAAAATCTGAATTGGAAATCCTTTATATGTCCTAAAGCGGGAAATGTACAATGTTATATCAAATTGGACGGAACAATTAATGACAAAATAAAAGATTAAAGGGGCCCTATTATGCTTTTGGAGTTGTTCCCTTTACCTCCGGAACATAGTCACATCAATATGTAACGCTCGAGATTCTATTGGCTAACGCTCCAACACATTGTATGTGATAAGGCTAAGGGGCGGGACCTCTCTAAGCGGTTGGACAATCACCACATAGCCGGCCAGCTAACCAATCAGAGCAGACTGGGCTCTGGTTTCAGACAGAGGGTGAAAAGAGGTGCTGCAGCACAGACAGTATGAGAACAATAAATAGCTTTCTGAACATTAAAGCCTGGAGACATGTCACAGTAGAGACACTACATACTGATATGAACCTGAATATGAGCAGGATATGCCCCCTTTAAACTAACATATTAATAAATAAAGAAGCAAGCACATGTTAATATAATCAAAATCAAAAAAAATAAAATATAAGGAGCAGCATTATAAGTTAGTGAAACAAATGTAATGAAGTCCTGCCAGAACAACAGAAGAAAAGGAAACGTTAGGGCCTATAGGAACAAAGAATTGGTGCCATTTTAGGAATTAACTGAAATATTATGTAAAAAGGAACCATATCTTTATATTTTTTATTCATAGCTGCTTTTGTTTTTCTATTTATCTTCAAACATTCCTGGAGTGTATCTTCACAAATCCTTGAGTCCTCTGTTAAGACATGCACGACATGCCATGAAAATACCTTTAAGGATTCAAATGTTTTCATTCTCTGCAGCGGAGTCAAGTAATAGTCGAATTCCATGAAAGATTACATAGCCTTGAGTCTAGCTTTTAAATGAACTCAATTCTGCAGTTCACGTTGGACTCTTTAGTCATGAAAGGCAAAAGCTTAAAATGGGGTGTATAAATGGCAGAGTCAGAAAGATATCTTCAAGAAAAGGAAAAGATAAAAAGGTCTTTGGGTTCAGAGAATTAAAAAAGGGTTTAAATGTAATGAAATGTTGAGATAGGACTACACAGACATACCCTAAGTCTAATAGCTATGATATGTTCCTCCTCTGACTTTCTAATAATACTTAATTTCTACCTGTACGCCCCAGGATGCATTTTTGTACAGAACAATGTCAAGGAAAGATCCAGGAGTCTCTTTGGTGCTGTCTTTCATTTTCTTCCATTTCCTCAAGCAATGGAGTGAAATCAATCAAAAAGTCCTCCATGCTAAGGTGATACACTGCCAAAATATGAGCAGTTACCAATGTAATATTTAAAAAAATGTTTTATTTGTTTCTTCTAGCGTGCAGCTGCAGTCCTGGAGGAACCTCTGGCTATGTGAATGAATGCCACCCTCACACAGGAAACTGCCTGTGCATCGGTCATGTGACCGGACGGGACTGCAGTTATTGTGAAATGGGCTTCTTCAACCTCCAACCAGGCGTAGGATGTGAGAGGTATAAACACCTGTCATTAGCTTGGTAGATTTGGTGATAAGACAAATGTATATACAGCATCTCATATAATAGCTTATTCAAGTTTTTCTGCATTACTCTCTTCAGAAAACTTCAGTTTTCACAGGAAACAGCTTAATGTGGCTTTATGCAACAAATATAGTTAGTTAGTTTGGAAAAAATATTGTGTTTTAGGGTAAAATAACTATGAAGGTGGCAAGGTTACGTGACAAATGACTCAACTGGCAATTATATCAATTCTGGTTTCAAATGGGATACACACACACACCCTCTATTATTGAGACATTTTCCTGCCTCTCTTAGGTGCAGGTGTAGCCCTATTGGCTCAGCATCCGACGCTTGTCATCCAATCACAGGGCAGTGTGTGTGTCGTGCAGGAGTGGAGGGGACACTGTGTGATTCTTGCCGAGTGGGCTTCTTTGGATTCTCGTCACGAGGTTGCAGAGGTACAGGATTTTACTGCAGGCATCCTCTAATCCTCTAATACACCTTCCAACACAGATCCCACATGAAGGCATTTCTAACTCTTCAAATGTTTACCTCTGCCCCCCGACCCCACCCCCATCCCTCTTCCTGTGCCCCCCCCCCCTGCTGTCCTCTGGCCTCTCGCAGCCTGTAACTGCGACCCCATGGGCTCTGTCTCCATGCAGTGTCACGGTAACGGGACCTGCCACTGTCGCCAGGGCTTCGTGGGTTACAAGTGTGACAAATGTGAGCTGAACTATTACCACAGCAGAGACACCCACCAGTGTGAGGAGTGCCCCGTTTGTTATGGCCTTGTGAAGAAACAGGTGAGATTATGGTTGTTTGTGTAATAACCGTTATTTGTGGGAATTTTCAAATTCTACAAATTAGATTTTTAACATGCATTACTGGTTTTTTGGGCATGGTTCGACCGAAACGAGCAAAATATTTAAACATCAGAATGCCATTGAAGTTGTTATGGCCAACTTGTTGCCTGCAGCAGATATGAGCAGTAAATAACTGACGACGCTCGTGAACTGTCAACAGGAGGGCGGGGAGTGCCTCGCTGCGGGGAAGCAGTGTGTGGACCTGTCAGCGCAACTTACATGAGGCCGAATTTAACAAACAAATTTAAATAATTGGTTTAAACGGCATAATAATAAGGGCTTTCAACTAAAGACACAGCCACGCAAAAACTGCGGCATTTGTACAGCTCCTTATGGGTACTACAATTTGTGAAGTGCTTTCCTCTGGTGAAACGATCAGCACTGCACCACGGGCATGGCTTCCTTCTGCAGGTAACGGGGAGACACGCCCTGGCGGCGGTCTCATTCAGGATCCGAAAATAAAATGTAAATATTTTGCCCACTTATTCCACTTATTCCTAGTGTGCCACTGGTTACGGTGCCGCATGCCAGCATTGGCTGACCCCTGCCCTGAGCCCTTTATGTACGAGCCCCCAAATAGATTGCAGTGAAAAGCATTAGCATTTTCATTGTGTATCAATAAATGTATCATATTTATTGGATAGGGCAATTCATACCTAAATTATTTTTAAGATTTTTGAGGGGGCCCAAAAGATCATTTGGACAGGGATTTACCCCATGCTGCCTGCTCTAGTTGAACAAGTTATGGGTGCATTTCCTCACATACACTCAATCAATGGTTCAAATACATTTGATGCAAGCTTTACATTTTGCATGAGCAGATCTATTTCCCGAGCAAAATAACTGCTCCCTTCTCCAATTTGTCAAATCTGCCATTTATAAAGCAATGAGTTGTCATCCTGATCCCTGATCGTTTTTAAATAATTTGTTGGCAAAAGCTGACCAATATACAGACTAAATACAACCTTTTGCCCTTGAGGATTACAATGAGCCCAGATTATACTCTGTAACTTTCAAAAGTGTGTTGGATTACGCTGTAGAAGCTCACAGCATGCATTTCTACTATATATTGTTCATATAGTACCCACTGTGTCTTAGCGAGCCCTCAGTTTTGGGGTACTTACTGACCAGCTACAGCAAGCTTAACATTGACTGACCACAGCAGCACTTTAAAAGGTCCCTTCGGCACAGCAGATTTTAAAGAGTGTTTTTTTCCTGCTGAAAACAGCAAAGTGATTCACCCAAACAGCGATATGAGTGTGCTGGGCGATAAACCAAAACAGCCATGTTGAAAGAAGCTGAAAAGCTCTGTATAGCTGAGACCGGGTAAATGTTTCATGATTACAAATGACTTTAGCTTTCTTTTCCTACTCTATTGAAACATATTAAACTCCAGGAGTGCATCGTATTTGAACCTTCTAGTCTGGATTTGATTGGGACAAACGACTTTTGTCTTTACTGATTCATCTTCTAATTCTGATTTGAATACAACCTTTAAAATACCTATAAAATACTAAAAGATGACCATCACAAGTTTGCACAACGAAGCTTCTAGCAATAATGATGCTTCATTGAAAGGAAACTTGGGATACAAAGCTGCTAATCCTCTCATTATGTGAATGTGGAAGCTGTGTGTTTTATTCTGATAAATGTTGTCTTGGCTCTGCATTTGTATAGCTAGGTGCAATTTGTTCTTGAATCAGCACAGTCCGCCCTGCAGGCTGCCTTCCTGGACCCCCGTGAAAGCCTCGTGGCTCCTTAGTATTTGTAGATTGCAAGCAAACAGTAGATGTGCAGTGAAACAGAAAGAGACGTTTGCCCTAATGCTCTCCTGTGCAGCTTCTTTCTGTCCCTTTAGATTTATTGCAACCCACGTCTGTATGCTAAGGTGCTTCGCCCCTGGATTCGCCTCCTGAAGCCAATTCAATAGCAGCGGCATGTTCTGTCTTCTCCCTGTACATATTCTAAAGTGGCTGTGTGTTCTCTCCGGACTGGCTTGTACCCGTGTGAATGCATGCAGTGATTTCCACACTGTTAGCAATTCAGTGAACATCCCAAGCCTTGTCTGCTCCAAACACCTTCAATTACTTCTCAGTCTCCCCCACGCTCTTCTTTTCTGCCTCGCCCACTCTCTCTGTCTCCGCTCACAATGTCATCTGGCTTTACACGCAGAGAGGTAAAGACTAACGAGGGCAAAGGGAGGAAGGTTGGGAAAAGACAGAGGTTTGCGATCGATGATCAAGAAAGATATGACAAAGACTCGGGAAAACAGCAAAAATAAAGAAACGGAAGCAATTATTAGAGGTATATTTGATACCTGTTAAAAGCAGTAGTGCACAGTATGTTAAAGCATTGAAACTAGTGGTCAATGGACTGAAGATGCAAACCAATTAACACCTCACTTACCAGGTAATAAGATCAGCTATTTCTGCTCCCGGTGAACACACCTTATAACCTCACACATGTACAACACGTCCAACATGCCTCCTGCTTTGAAAAAGGAGTGTGATTACAGTCTCTTGTTATATAGATCCAGACCATTACACATCTGAGCACCTTCATTCCTCTCTCTCTCCTCTTCAACAAGTCTAATCCCGTTATTTCCTGATATGCCTTCTCTGGCCACATGCTTTGCAGAGAACAGGAAACAGTGTTCTATCCTCATCCTGTTGTTGATATTCATTTATTCATTGCTTTTGGTGAAATACTAAATGTTGATATCCTGGTGTACCGAGAATCAAAGTCCTATCTCAATGCCTGTGTCTGAATAAATAAATAAGAGCTGGATAGATATCTCTTTTGTTGCTGTAGTGTTGTTGTTTTTAGTTATTGCTAAATCTGTATTCTCACTGACGCCGACGGTGATAAATCGTGCTGCTGTTACAGGCAGAGAAGCTGAGGACACGCCTGCAGGATTTGGAGAAGCTGCTGGCTCACTTTGATTGCCGAGGTAGATTTGGGAAGCAGCACCACCTGCTGAAGTATCACATGGCCAAGCTATATGACCATGAGCACCAGAGGGAGGATTCTCTACCCAACGCTCTGGAGGATTTTCTAGCCTTCCAAGGTAACAGCAGCCAGAAGCCCAGATCATTCCACTTGGCCTGACCCCCCATTTAATGTTTCCTATGTGGTGGTCACGCGAGAGACACTTAACAGCCTTTGCCTTGTGAAATGTGAAGCCAGTTATGTGCCATTGTTAGTATCGTGTCATGTTTTTTTCTGCGCGATGATAACCTGCAATATCAGTGCCTACAAGACCAGCGAGCATGGCTAAGAAATTTGACATCAAACCGCCCACGGCGTTCTGCAAAACGGGCTGTTGCTCTGTCTGTGTCCTCAGAGTTAGAGATACAACACAACAAAGCGATTAAATCGGGAAGCAGACAACAGTGCAAACGTCTCCCAATTACTTTAACACAATGCTGATATATCCTCATTATCTTTGGAGGGGAAAGGGCGCAGGCTCAACGGCACAGGCCAAATGGAGACAAATCATAACAATATAAAACAAGGCGCAGTGTGACCAACTTAATCCCTATTTATGTGACAGGCGGTGTATCTCTAATCCCTGGTTTATTATGATTATAGTTGCAATCATGATAACCATTGTCTAACAACCCCTGTACCAACACCCTCATACTTACACACACACACGCACACATATCGTTAGCAGCCATGCACTTTATGACACTGGGAGGCCTATTAATGATTTAATGAACATGTGCGGGAAAACACCGGCTAATGAACATGTGCGGGAAAACACCGGCGCTCACACTTTTTAACTGCTATTTTATATGACAAAAAGTCACAGAGGCAAGCGATCACGCACAATGCAGACACACAACACTGTGCCTGTGGATCCTTGATTTTTATTTATCTGTTGCTATTTTATTATACTATATATATACTATAATATAGATATTATATAGTGTAGTGTATGGTGTAAATGTTTTCTTATACAATTGTATTTTTTATCTTTTCATTGTAAACCTTTATATAAGTATTTTTATTCAATATTTTATTTATATTTTATTTTATTCCAAAATAAAGCAACTATCACAAATTAAAAAAAAGTTCTCCTATGATATAAAAAACTATAGATTTTGATTATTCTGATTCTGAAAAGGCATTTAATATTGAGTATATTTTAACAGTCTTAAAAATGCAAAATAACATACATTTCTCTTTATGGTTTCTTTTACTGATGTTGCGTTGTTTAAACCCCAAAATAATTGGTACTCTCTAATTTAATCTAATAATTATTAGCGTCTTGCACAAATGACACGGAGATGAGAGTAAAGCAGAAAATGATGTGAAAGATTTGAATGAAATGTCATTGCGCCCGGCATTAAAAAAGTCTTAACTGCAGAAACCCTGTTGTACTAATTGTACTCAGCTCCAGTGTGGATAGGCAGCCAGTTAGAATTCACTGAGACAAAATTAACTCGAAAAAATGCTCTCTGGTTCAGTTTTCTTTCTCACATCAAACACAGGAAAGACACAGCGGGTGAGAGATGTGTTTTTAACTCCTGCATTCTAGCTGCAAACAGTCGGAAGAAAATTGTACTTGCTGAAATAATCAGTGAAGAACTTGATGTGCTTTTATTTGCCTTGTGCCCTTTTGTTCTTGCAGAGGCGCGGGAGGCCTTCATAAAGCAGTTTTCCTTGCTGGAAGCGTCCGCAGGCTTCCTGTTAGCCCAGCTGAATGGCATTACAACCACTTTGAACTGCAGCATCAGCATGACAGAGATGGAGAGCGGGACGGGTGAAGGGAGCAGGGGTGTGTGTCAAGCCTTCACTGACACACTGTTCATTGTTAGGGCGTCTCAGAAACAGCTAAAGCAGGCGACACTGGACCTGGACAGCATGGTAGGCGAATCAAACACATCCTGTCCTCATTATTGTGTATTTACTCCACAGAGCTCTTGTAATTCCCATGTATTTCATTGCAGAAAATGCTCCAGGTAGCTGTAACATAAGAGTTCACCCAGTCCATAAGCATACTGATATTGTTTGTGACACAATTGATGTTGTTGTCCTTATTATGGGATGCTGCAGTTTACTCCTCTTGATGGAGCTGCTCTGTATAGATCCTCAAAGATCCCCAAAAGCAAAAAAATATTTCATCCTCCACCACCCTCCACCAGAAAAGCAAAGGAACGTTTGATAGACGCTAAAATTAGTGTCACTGCGGCACTTGTAATGTATTACGGATACCGCCGCTGTGTTATTTAGGTTTCTGGGAGATGAGAGAGAGCTTGTTTTGCCAATATATAACACTCTATTTCTGATTGTGTGCACACCACAGCCCTTATCACTTGGGTAAGCCTGAAGCTGCAGCAATGGAATTTCATATTAATAAGCCGAGCAGCCACCCCAAAAATGAAGAACAAATGCAAGCACTGCAATTGTTGATTTCAGTTTTATTTTCATTTTCCTAAATTAAATGTACCCCGGAAAGCATTTGACTGTATACACATAACATTTATCAAGTCAAAACTTCAGGGGATTTATTTTGAGAGAGGTTCCTTCAAATGCTCCTGCTTTGAACGTTATATTTAGGAGAGGTTCATTAGAGGAACTCATTATTTGCAGAATGAAAGCCTCTGTTTTGAGGCTCGGTCCAGCAAAGCAATCAAAATATAGCAAAATGAACCTCTACACTTAAAGATATGTTTTTTAAAATGTCCGCCCTGATTTGAATAACAGCTTTCCCAAGGATCCACGATTATCTGAGCAGACAGTGCTGAGTCTAAAGAAAGACTCAGCTGTGAAAAGTTCCTTAATTACTCCATGGAGACTTGAGTTCACATGATTTCATTAAACGGTGGAACAGTCTGAAGTCTCCACGAGGCCAAACGTATTATTTGTTCATGTCTCAGACCCCCTCAGCATGTCGCTTTTGCCTTATTCATAGATCATTCCTTTTGAGATGGTGTCAGGCCCTAACAAATGGAACACGATGGTCAATGACTCACAGGCCCTACTGAAAAGGTAAGTCAGGTCAATGCACCTACTATAAGAAAATAATAATAAAGCTTTACTTATTTAGCACTTTTCATATAGCAGGTGCAGCTCAAAATACTTTACAAAATGGCACACATCACAAATCAAAGCAAAGAACAAGAAATTCCCCTCAGTTCAGATGGTAAGACTTCAGGAAACATGTAGCATAGCAGCAAATATAACAGTTTAAAAGACACAAGGAGGTAAAGGTATGATATTACAAATAAAATACAACAAAATAAATAATGATTCTCTCTGAAAATAAAGGTAGACATAACACGCTAATGTCGCTAATCAAAAGCTGATGGCCTGGGAGAAAAGCTGGATGGATAGTAATGTGTGAAACTTGGTCTAACCTTGCCTTCTCCTCTTGGCTCACCCCTGACACTGTGGTTATGCAATTGTGAATCGATGCCCTGGGCTACTCCGAGCATGCAGCATTGTTACGTGGTAGTTACAGAAATGTGGACCGGAGAGCCAGAGATGGGGAAGTTGTCGATGCTGAAATCCATTTCATCTGTCCTCAGGCGGTTGTAATGGTCTGTTATTCTATGTTACTCACTTCCTCTGTTCTTTCTCCATCCCTTTTAGTCAGAGAGAAATGGCAGAGCACATGGAGGCCGTAGCCAGCAGGGCGGTAAGAGCCTCGGAGCAGACCTTCAGCTTCCTGATGGATCTACTGCAGGACAACTCCACAGAGGACTACATCAGGAGCCTAACGGAGCAGTGAGCACAATAACCAATCCTAACACACGCCCACCCAGACAAACACAAGCAGGAAGAATGCCTCCCATTCACATAAAGCTTACAGTTTGGCGCGATCCCAACAAGCTGCATGACTCTGTGGATTATTGTGCTTTCTCACTTTATTTTCTCACACAGTGCACCAATGTATTACAACTCAAGCTCCTCTTCTTCACAGCAGCCTGTTAGAGCACATTGGAGTTTAGGAGTAAGACATTTAGCCACAGGGGGACAGCTTCTCTCCACTGTAAGCCTATTGCCTTCTCGGATTTGCAGCACGCTCGCTGCATCTCCTAGCGTGTGATTGCTCCGAGGATTATCCTGAATGCTCGACAGAATGATGCAAAAAGCCCTCCAGTGGCCATGATGAGAGCAGGGGGCGAGGAAACTCAAAATTGATTACCCCCTCCTAACAGTAGTCAGCACGGTCCAGAAGGGTTCTGTTAATCTTTGCATAACTGCGTTATGACAGTGTATGCGAGTCAGTGTGTGTGTGTAGCTTTATAGGATATGAATTGAGTGGTTTATGCACAGATTGGCAACATTAACTTGCATTCCACAACATATTCACCCATGTGTTTGGACTTAAGCAAATCACATGCATTTTAGACGCAGGGCAGTCCGAAGTATTCACACATTCAGCCACAAACAATAGCCCTCTATTAGAAGGCTTCAGATATGACTAATATCTATTGCAGTATTACTTTTGCTAGAACAACTAAAATGACAACGGTTCACTTATTACCAATATTCAACCTCTATTTTAAATTCAGCTGCAGTAAAAGCAGAAGAAGAGTGACATTGTACCGCCTAAAAAAGTCTGTTATGAACGGCGAAGCGACGCAGGAGCTCGAATATATATTACAAAAAAGAAAAAACCTTAAAAAGCCAGCCATCGTTTGCTCTTACATTTTCAAGTGCCTGGATTGCATTCCTGGTAATCCTGTTTTCCAAGAGCATGGAAATCATTTTGGATTTACCGTTGAGTTTACAGAACATTGAGTCATCTTTTGTTCCTGACGATTAATCGGTCATCAAAATAGCTGCAAAGGATTTTCTGTTGATCCACACAATATTTATGTGTCAACGTACACTACTTTTGCAGCTCTAGTCTGTCTCGGGGCTCTGAAGTACAATTCTGAATCACTGCAACAACAAAAAAGGTGAACCACTGGAAACCAGCAAAAGCAAGAAGCGATTTTTCGGCTAAACTGAAGTCAAAATATCAAATGTTACCAAAAAAACGAAACTTTGAGAGAAGCCCCAAAAGTCAGAGACATTTTGGTAGCGGAGCAATATTTTCCTTACATCCAGGAATATTATAAAATCCTCGTGTAACCCTTCCAGATGTATCTTGGGACCCTTTGGCGTTGTCTGGTCCCTTAGATAGGGGACTCTTGACCAGCTACAACAGTAACATATTACTTATCTATCAGTCCTAATCTAAAAATATCATATTTAATCATATATTTGTCATAGAGGTCATTTTTCTGCGGAACTTTAGCTTATCCTTCTGATACAGTAAAGTACATTTTTCTAATACTGGTTTGACTTATAATGGAGTATTTTTACATTGTTGTATTGATATTTTTACTTTGCCTGACAATTGCAATATGACTTGTTTTAAAAGCTCCTTACAAAGAGTTTTACCAAAACATGATCAATTAATCATTGTGAAAATCAATTAGTTTCAACTTCCCAAAAGGCATATGGTTTTTGCTGAACACAGGAAGAGAAAGTGACACAATGTGAATTCTGTGTCTGTTGAGGCAAAACAGATTCATTACAGCTGTGGAGGTGATACAAAAGGCACTGCACTGTGTCTAACACTTTTCATTAATTCATCATGCTGTCTTCGCACGCTGTTGCTTTATCTTTTAATCCTCTTTACTCACTTATAACAAGCGGCTTTGTCTTCCCCCCAGATTTATATGGATTTCAATATGGCACAGCACAATGCTTTTCACATTTCTCTAGTCAAAGATATAAATGTAATGTGCTGAATGAAGTGCAACATATGTGCGGCTGTAATGATACTGCACTATAGAATCTCTTACCTCCTTTTCATCATCTTTACAATAATAAAACATCAGATCAACAGAAGAAAAGGGGCTATAGATTGGTGCAGGAATGAGCTGTAAATCAGTATTTGACCACTTCTGGGTTCCTTCTTCTTAAGATTGGTTAGATGAATAAGCTCTATTGTTAACACAAGCTAAAGACATTTTAAAGTGTCCCTTTGCTTTTAGGGTTTTCCCTCTCCTGTGGTGTGTTCTATAGGTTTGATGCTAAATGGTCTGCAAAGGCTGGAACCCCTGTGTTCCCTCCAGAGGGAGTTTCCCTCCCACACACTCCCAAAAAGCCTCCTTTGTTTACTTTTGTAACATAATGACATCACTATGTAACATTCTTGCGTTTTGATTGCACTCAAACACATACGTGAGAGGCTAAGGGGCGGGACACAACAGAGCCGGACAGTTAACCAATCAGAGCAGACTGGGCTCTGGTTTCAGACAGAGGGTGAGCTTAATAGGGTCTTTTTAATGATTCTACGACATAAAATATGTCAGTAAGTTCCCCACTCGTAAACTTGTGAAGCTTCTGTGTCTTAAAAACTGCCGTTGCTAACAAGTGACTAAATGAGACAACTTAAAGTCATTACGTTGAACATTAGCTGTCTTTAGCTTAGCGGTGGTGACGAGGAGGAGTCATGTGACCGTAACATAGTTTGTTGGAATTTAGGCTTCAACTATTATAAAAGGGGTGTTAGTAAGTGGAACAAAAGGTCCAGCTGAACAAAAGAATCATAAATGTGTGTTTTCTACAGAGCTCATTTTCAGTTTATTTAAGTCCAATGGAAAGATCCCACTGATTGATATCGAGGTAGCCCGAGTGATGCTAACCCCAGGGTTGGCCGACAAAAAGACATCATGTCTGAACCAATCTAATGCAGTAGAATATATTTTACAACATGTTCTCATCTCTGTCTCTCAGAATAACCCAAATGCAGCAGCAGAAAGGGAACCTGACAGTGCAGGTGAATGAAACTGCAGCCAAACAGCTGGCCCTGGAGGAAGAGGCTGCAGACATGAAGATCGCCCTGGGTAACATCACATCATCCTTACATCAGCTGGCTCTGACTGAGGCCAGCCCATCACCAGAGCACAACCAAACACATGCAGCCAAGCACACCACAGAGGTCAGTCTGCCGCAGCACCTGCAGGGTACACAACTGAATGTGAAGCATTATTATGTCACATTATAGAGCCATGAGTGAATCATTTAGTCTTATTACAGCCGGCTTGATAGCTGCACATATTATATAAGGAACCATTCCAGCACATTTAACTAAGCTCATATACGGATACAAGTAGCTATCATTTTAGGACGAGTGGGCAGTTAACTACTCATCATTTTTCTTTTTGATGATTTAACATTGGCAAGCAGAGGGGGACACTGAGTAGGCACAAGAGAGAGGATCCTGGCAGGGTTTGCTGCTCATGGGGGTACATGTTGTTCCAGAGGAGGTGATTAACCACTGCAGCCTCTCTGAGCACACCAAACATTGTAAAACAACACAGAAATAGTTCCCTAATATTCCCTCTGCAAATGGCTGATTAAATGTTTTGCAAAAATGAGAGAGAAAGCAAAGTGAGATTTGTTGTAATGAAAGCATTCAAGTGGTGCGTTTCTTCTTCCTGTTTAGTGGGGCGGGACCTGTTTAAAACAGACGGAAGAGCTGGACCGGCAAATTCAGACCAAAGAGAATCTTGTGAGGAAGATGAGAGAAGAGATGGAGCCTCTTAAACAAACTGCCAATAAGAAACTGGAGATAGAAGAGGACATCAGTGAGGTGACTAAATTAAATCAGCATGTGGCTTGAATGTCTAAACACATTGAATGTTTATTGAATTGTCATATTAAATGCTTACGGTTTATTAGCCATGCTAGGCAGCTGAATGTGTGGTTTGCAGTTCTGATGGTCCACTACTTTTGATGAAAATCACTCAATGACTTTCACATGGATTGACTTTAAAATTGAGTACGCACATTAAAGACCAGAGTCCAATCCGTGGTATTGAACGAAGTGTCCTCGTCAACTACTTGGTACATTCCATGATACTTGGCACAGACATTCATTTTTACCTCAGGATAAGTTGTAATAACTGTAATGATACCTTGAATTCCAGTATAGCTCAATACATTACATTACAATCAACTAAATGAACTAATGACTGTAATTTGTATTGATTGATAAACATTAAATGATAGCATACCAACACACTAAACAGCAGGTATAATGTATACCTCTCTGGTTGCTAAAATAAGTATGTATAGAAGTCCTATGAAATAATGACCGGCCTTCCCCATTGATTTATGACCTCAGAGAACCAAGTAAACAAGAGTTTACGGGCTCAATTGCTGGTCTTCTTTAGAAATAGATGTAAATCATGGTTCCATTTAAATTCAAACATTTGATAAAAGAGATGTGGTCTTTTAGGGCGTGGCTACCTTGTGATTGACAGGTGGCGGCCCAGTCGGAGTTTTGGCTGAGCTTTAACCCTCCTACAGTGTGTTTTCACTTCATGAAAGTTAATTGTAACATTTTTGGTCACCTGTAAAAACATTATACTTAGTTTCCAACCTCTCATTTCACTTCTGGTTCAAAAAAAACAGAAATACCAAACTAAAGGCTCCAAAACTTGAAAAACCAATGTGTGTCGACTACTTCCACGTCTAGGCTGCATGGCTGGAAATGATTGTAATGCTGTCCTCCCTCCTGTGTTTGATATCTGTTTTTGCAAGCTTTACACTTACACTTGACTCCACTGAGGTTTTGTTTCCTCATGTCTCATTCTTAAGCTGCGGGTTCACGCTCAGGGGTCAAAGGTCATGGCTCTGACGTCAGTGGTGAGAGGGAAAGAAGTTGAGTCTGAAGCCATCGCCCTGCACAGAGAACTGCAATGTGAGTCTTTTTCCTTTCTGTTTTTCACTCTCTTCACTGTCTGTCCTGCATTGTTGTTTTTGTTCAACAACATTTTTCTTCTTAAATTGAAATGTCAAGTGCAGAGTCTGAAAACAAACATATCAACAACAAGAACTGAAATATTTCTGTAATAAATATGTCATCACCATTGTAACATTTTGACCTAATTGACCTATTGCATGCAGCAGTGGCTTACCTTATGTGGAACATGTAATGAAGTGGAATTTTTTGAGAGTTTCCAATGCGTCAAATTCATAAATGAAATATCGACTCTTTATGATGCGTGCAGAGAATCTTAAGTTACTCCTCAGACTAAAACAGCACAGTAAAAACAGAGCATGAAACCTTTAAATACAATTCTGCCAGTAGACAATAGTATGTTTAAGTCAAACCTTTTATAATTCAAAACAACCATGACTCCGAAAACCTGTTTTTTTACCCAAATCTGTCACCTCAAGCTAGAACATGTGAATGTATTGCATACTAGATAAAAGGTAAGTGCAAAAAGAAGTAGAGTGCAGTGTAATGTACTGTACAGGGTATATGGACATCACATACAAAAAATAGAATGTGGAAGGGGTATCAATATGAAAGAGATGTCAGAATTGTTGGTGTTTTCTGAGCTCTTCTGACTCACTATCACGTCATATCACAGAAATGCATGCAACATTCATGAATAAGCAACATTTAACCCATTGAATGTATTTTCCCCAGCTTGATATTAGATTGTTGCTCATGTAATCATGAGAATAATAATACATGAGACTTGTATAGCGCTTTTCTAGAAACTCAAAGACGCTTTGACAGAGAATAAAAAAAACAACAAAAAAAACAAGACAAATACAAAAAGAGATAAACAAAATAGGGGGGGGGGGGGTCAGTGGTTGAATGCAGTGTTGAACAGGTGGGTTTTGAGTGATATTTTGAATGGTGTGAGGGAGGAAGAATCTCTGATGGATTGGGGGTAGTGAGCTCCAGAGGGTGGGTGCAGCAACGGAGAAGGCTCTGCCGCCCCAGGACTTGAGGTTGGTCCGGGTGGGCGGGGGGGACAGGAGGTTGGCCAGCAGCAGAGCGGAGAGAGCGAGTGGGAGTGTGTCTGTGGAGGAGGTCAGTTTAGGTAGGATGGGGCCAGGTGATGGAGGGCTTTGTACGTCATGAGGAGGATTCTGTACTGAATTCTCTGGGGGATGGGGAGCCAGTGGAGCTTGATGAGGACAGGTGTAATGTGGTCACGGATTCGGGTGTGGGTGAGTAGACGGGCGGCGGAGCTCTGGATGTATTGAAGTTTGTTGAGGATTTTTGCAGGTGAACCATAGAGGAGGCTGTTGCAATAGTCCAGACGGGAGGTGGTGAAGGCGTGGATGAGTCGAGAGAAGTACTGCTACTTTAATAGCTACATTTTGAGATTTAAAACGACTTTTCACTGCCTCTGTTCCTTTCCCTTGCCTTCTTCCTGATCCTCAGACATGGTGAGGGAGTGGCCCCGGCAGCAGGCCCAGACAAAGGCCTCGATAAAGAAGGAGAAACCTCTGGAGGAGAAGGTTCTGGCAGATGTCAGGAGAAAGGTCTCGCAGATAAAAGAGATGCTGGAACCTGCTCTGCAGAACTCCAGCCTCTCCAGCAACATCACACAGCAGGCAGAACACACCGCTCACGCTGTGGCAAAGGTGTGTGTGCGGCCAACACACCGCTCTGTGGCACAGGGGTCCAGGTGTACTTTTTAGTTTTGCTTTGCAACTTGGAATCTTACCCCCCTCTTGATGAAAACAGTCAAGTTCAAAACCCAGTTCCAAATCAGTTCTCAGTTGTTTTTGATATTTGCCATTATTTACCATTTTAGCCTCAGCTTGTGCATGTTTTGCTGTTAATAATAATAATACATGACACCACTTATATAGCGCTTTTTTTAAAACTCAAAGACGCTGTGACAGAGAATAAAACTAAAAACAAAGAAAAATACATAAAGAGATAAACAAAAACAGATTCAGATTCTGTTGTGTTTTGGTATGTTTTTCAAAATGATGATCTCTGTCCTTGATTGTCCTTAGGCGCATTCACACCGCAGTACTTTTCCCACAAAGGTTCATGAGAACTCTTTTGTCGCGTTCACACCAAAAAGACCCGGTACTAAAATTAGTTCATGTGAACCTTTTTACCCACACGAAAGTCCCTGCTAGAGAGCAGGGACTTTCGTGCGGCTCTCTTGTGAGAAAAGAACTATATTTCTGATTGGCTGGGCGGATTGCAAACCACGCCCCGTAAAACTCCCAAAAAGTTTTGTGAAGCCGCCATTTTATTATCCTCGCATTAGCATTATTAGCATTAGCCCAGCGCAGAAACGCAGAGAGACTAACTTATGGCAACACAAAATAAAACATGGGAGCGGTGGAGATGAGGAGGTGTCGGCATTCTGGCGATTTACTCGGAAGGCTTCAGTAGAAGCTGCTGGGAGTCCCAGCAGCTTCTACTGAAGCCAGTCCCCAACTCCGGGGACTTCCGGCCGGGGACTTTGGGCGGCAGTATACGCCGTGAAGTGTTTTGCAGCCTGCCAGTAAACCCAAAGCAGAAGAAGAAGAAGTGACGTCAGCGGCTTCATTTTCCTAATCCACCCCCAGGGATTTATTCCGGTATGAACGCGATCTGTATTTAGTTCATGAGAACTAAAGAGTTCTCATGAACCTTTGTGGGAAAAGTACTGCGGTGTGAATGCGCCTCTTGTATATACTTGAATTTACTACATTTCTACTTGTATGTGAACCTTTATACTTGTTGCCCATCTTTATTCGGTCTCCATGGAAGAATACATATTATAGAGAAATGGGGCCTTTTTGGTTAAATAAAGGATAAACAAATTCATACTTTGCTTCATAACCAAAAACCCTAAAAAACGATCTGAACTAAATATCTCAAATAGTCGGTAGGGCTGCACAATAATTCATATGTCATCGTCATCACAATGTCAACTTGCAAAGAAACACATTACACACTTTCTAACTACACTTCAAAATCAATATTTTGTGTGCAGTTAGATGTTCAGTTTGGACAAATCAAACCATCTTCCAATTGATTTCCCTTTTATTATTTTATCTAAAAGCAATTTGTGTATCTTGGCAGTATATATGTTTATAAAGCAGAACTGAGTACACTTTAATATCTGTTCATTTATTGCCTGTAGTATTTATATCACAAGTAATAACATATGTTCCTGATGTTGTGCAGCCCTACTAGTTGATTACAGTTTGTCTCTCCCCTGTTCTCCCCTTCCTTTGTGTGCAGGAATCCAAAGCCATTCTGATCCAGGCCAAGCACACGAGGACAGCGTCGGCTCACCTCAGCTCGCACATCGACTCCGCTCTGCAGCAGCTGAGTGAGCAGGAGCTGCAGACTGACAGAGCCCGCTCCCTGGTCACTGCAGAGGTAACACACACGTCATCCACACATCTGAACAGCAGGATCCATGCATATTGATCTGTGCTTCCTGTGCTCAGTGATAAGGACGATGTTTCTGTCTTCTCATTTCCAGCCTCAGGTATCCCTGGCCGGCGTTAAAGAAGACATGGAGGCAGCCAGGCTCCAGTTGAAGGCCTTCTCTGTTACACTTACTGAGCTAATCAGCAAGATTGGTAAGTCACTCTCTTATAGATGATGTTCACTCTGCCTCCTTTAAAGTCAGGACAAACTCATACATCTTCATTATACCGTAAATGTCACTTCACTAAAGAGCTATCTGCTTTTTAATGCCTAGTTTAACATGGAAATGTTTATCCCATATGATGAAGTAACTGCTGTTCATGGGCCCAGCAGCGGGTTCTCTGTGGCTAAATGTCACTGCTAAATATTTCAACTGTGTTTCTATTTTTAACACAGTGGTAAATAATTACATATTATTTTACTTAATTGCATATTTGAGTTACTTTAGGGTATTTCTTGCCACTGCACACTTCTACTTCACTACAATGTCAAGGAACACATTGTGATTTTTACTTTACTACTTTTTTATTTTTACAGCTTTAGATCCTTAACAAATTAAACAGATTTTTATTATAACATTACATGTTTTGTTAAATTTAAAAAGCCAACTATCTATACAAAAACATCTTGTTTGATACATTTACAAGCACACTACATTTCAGTATTTCTTTTTTCTTTCTTTCTTTATTCTTATTTTAGATTTTTCTCTATTGGGAACTTGTAATACTTTAAAACTATACACATTTAAGTAATGTTCTTTATTATTTCTAGTCATTTAAAAAAGTTTTTATTTAAAGTGGACCTATCATGCTATATTTGAATAATATATTGTAGGGCCATACCTATATAAAACATGTCTGTGAAGTTTACCAAACCGATCCTGCATTTTAGCCATGCCTCATTTCGCTCTATTTGCTCTTTCCAGGCCTGTCTTTGCAGGGGCTGATTCTGTGACATAGCTTTAATGCAAATGAGCTGCAGCTGACCACGCCCCCCTGCAGGAGAGGGGAGCGTGCTCTGATCAGCTGCTTGGCTGTCAGAAGAGGGGGAGAAAAAGAGAGACTCCGTCCTCCGTGTTTTATTCGTATATGAATATATAGAGTCATTATTCATTTGTTTTAAAGCTCAATAAATAACAAAGAAGACCTTTGACCGGCACTTTTCTAATTTTGTCCGGAAGATTTCAACTTTAACGGACATGTTGACCGGCGGAAACAAATCTAACTCTGTCGCACGGTCCCCTCGTTCCTTGGAAGAGGCGGAGAGGTGGGTGTTTGTCATCTGCTGGTGGACTACCGGAGAGAATTACAGTGAGGGAGGGATTGCATTGAATTACAGCAGCAGGAGCAAACGCTTGCCTCAGGGAGGGAGAAAAAGAGCCACAGCAGAGAATAAACAGAAGGGCAACCATGGCAACCATGCGCGGGAAGTCTTCTTCGCTGCTTTTGTGGCAGACTACAGCGCCACTTACAGGCCTGGCATATGTACTACAGCGTCTCCAGCTCTTTCGAGCGGCAATGGCCGGCGGTGGCCCAACCCCACATTCCCCTGATAGGTGGAGAGTTGCCCATTTAGGCGGAGCTCCTCGTTTCTGACGTCAGAAAAATTAACCCAGCCCCGTTTTTAGAGATTTGGGTATGGAGGAAAAGAGAGAGGGTTGTCTTTTCTGACACTTGGTGAGTTCCCTGACACACCGGGGACACATATTCATGTATAAAAGACGTATAAAAGTGCATTTTGCATGATAGGTCCCCTTTAAATCTTAGATTGTTCTTTATTGGGAATTCTTAGTACTTAAAGAAACTAAACTCATTTTAGTAATTTTCTATATTATTTCCAATCATTTAACAAATATATATATTTGAGATATTTGAGCGTTATTATTATATATTTTTTATTATTTGTATTTCTGTACGGGGGATTTTTAATACTTTAATAACATGTTGCCGATGATACCTGCCTACTTTACCTAAGTGATCAATTTGATAACAGGACTTTTGCAATACAGTAACTTTACAGTGAGATATTCGTACATTTAGTAAAGTCAAGGGCTTCAATACTTCATCCATCTCTGTTCAAACTGAATTACCTGTGTAATCTATTGTGTAGAATGAATAAGACAGGCAGGCCTTTTCTGGTGAATATGTTAACACACCTGAGTGGATAATATCTGAAATCACTGTAATTAGGGCGTCGTGGCTTGAATCGGTGATGTTGGACGGCTGATAACAAAACTAGAGCGACAGTAAAACTTCTGTCTCCACTAAATGCTTTTCCTCTGCCTCCATCTGTCCTCTCTCTTGCGTGTCCGGATCAGATGGGAACGTGCCGCTGGAGCGCTTTGACCGGATCCTGGATGAGACGGAGCGGCGCCTCAGCATGCTCCGCGGGAGTGTCGACAGCCCGACGCTGGGAGTGAAGATTCAGAAGCTGCGTTCAGCCGCTCAGGAGCAGCACAGCCGGATGTCCCTCATTGAACAGGACTTACAGGAGATCACAGAGGAGAGAGACAGTCTGAGGGACATCGCTCTGAACCTGCCCGCGTCCTGCCCCTAGGCCTCAGCCGCAGGTACAGGCTACACACTGAAGAGGAGAGGCCTTAAAAGGATACCTCAGATTGCTTGAAGTGGGATTTGATCAGGTACTTATCCATATTCAGTGTAGTACCAACAGTAGATGAAGGATGGCACGCCCCGAGATTGGATGAAAAGACAGGATTACCATGGAGGAGACGGAAGAGTAAAAATTAACTGCTGGGGATGGGGCGGCAGCATAATATATTGTAGCCTCCTTATGAATAGCAAAATCACTTACAGTGTGTGCTATATTTAGAATACTTACACTGCTTTACTTTGCTGTCAGACAGCTCTTTCCAATGGGGAACTGAAGTGTATGTACGATTTCTTTAAAGCCACCAGACTCTATTGACGAACACAGTCAGTTTGCTTTACATTTTCTTTTTTTCTTTTTTATTAGAAAATATTAAAAATAAATGTTTTTCAAGGAATGGAAAAAAAGTACAAAAATAATGACAATTTAGTCTGAGAATAAAATATGTGCATTATAGAAAAATATGACAGCTTCAGTTCTCCATTGGAAACTGTAGAGTGGTACAAATATTCCAAATTTAGCGTACACTTCATCTAATATTGATTCTGTAGGTTTCTTTAATATGTTTTGCTGCTGCTCCCGTTCAGCAGTACATCGCTGAGATTTGCAGCCAGTACTCCTGTGTGCTTTTTCAAACTAGGGGGCATTCCATCCATCATCGACTGTACAGTAGGTAGTGTGGTAAGTACCTTATACAACCCCTCTTCAGAAAACTCTCCCTCTAAGTCATTGATAAGACACTCCAACATCAGAGAAGCCTGGAAGGATTTTGATAATAAAAGGGGCTGTGGTAATTTTTGATTCTGCTTCGAAAAAGTGAGTTATATCCCTTCATATTTTCCAGCTTTTGCCCCAAGGTACAATTTATTTTACCACCTCAAGAGACTCAGTCTCGCACATTCCCAGCAAAGCCTCAAACCCCTCCACTGTCTCGCATGATTCAAACCTAATCTTCCTTTTTGTTTTCCTTAATTTCTTTCTACCACTCTCTCCTTTCACTGCAGAACTGTAATTTCACCGTGAATAATAACCAGACGTACTGAACTGCTGGAGTGCCCTGTCAAGTTTAAAATAAAGCTGATTTTCCTTTGTGGGGGTAAAAGGTGTGTCTGAGTGCTCCTCCACACTGACACTTTCATTTACACTTGAGCTCTTTTTCATCAGTCTGGCTTAATTAACAATTAGTCCCCTTGGCCTCGGTGGGGTTCAGGTCAGGCTTCAATAGCACACAACCTGTTCTGATTCTTACAATGCCTACCTCTCTTATTGTACTTTCTAAATAAAATAAGTGAGTCTCCTTCAAATGTAGGAATGTTCAAATTATATAATGTTTGTAGAAAGTTACAGTCTTGGTCAAATTATCCGAGATAATCAGTTTTAAAGAGGCCCTATTTTATGTTTTCCCTTTCCTGTAGTGTGTTATATAGATGTGTGCATGTAAATGGTCTGCAAAGGCTAAAATCCCTGTGTGTGTGTCCGTCCGTCCCCCCCCCCTGCATGAAACGTCTCCATTGGACTCCTTTGTTTACTCCCGGAACATAGTGACATCACTGTGTAACACTCGCGTCGCACCGTTATTGTTTGCTGCTCCAACACATTGAACGTGATAGGCTAAGGGGCGTGACATCTCTAAGCGGTTGACCAATCACAACAGAGCCGGCCAGCTAACCAATCAGAGCAGACTAGGCTCTGGTTTCAGACAGAGGGTGAAAAGAGGTGCTAAATAAAGAGCTTTTTGAACCTTAAAGCACGGAGACATGTCACAGTAGAGGCACTACGTACAAATATGAACCTGAAAATGAGCACAATATGTCATCTTTAAGACACATGTTGAGGTTCTCATATGACCCAGTTACACAGCTACATCGACTTATAGTAAATGTATTGAATGTAAGGCCTTCACATAGAAACCATTACACAATGAAAGGGCCATTTTGAATACTGAAATGTCTGTAATTATTGATAGTCACTTTTGTACAACATTGTAATGCACAGTGAAAAGGAAAGAGCTGCACACAGCTGAGAAGAATGTGTTGGTGATTGCGCAAGGAATTCTCTGAAAAAACAAGCAATAAATGAAGTATTTCATCCTGAGAAACATTCTTGCTGTTTGTTCATTTTCTCCAAAGCACGTCACAGTATAATAAACACTAGGTTACACACTATGTGAGTACATCGTTTTTTATGTTGTTTTTCTATTATTTGCATTTTAAGAAATTATGTTGTTACAGTCAGTGGCGACTCGTCATTAGGGGCAGGTGGGGTACAGCCCCACCTAGTGTCAGCAGAAAGTAATGCAAATAATAATTCCAAAAATATGCAAAAACAATATATGTTCAAATATATTTTAAGATCATGTTTAGTCATCTGATTCGTCTGTACATTGCTGTTTTAGTCTGCGTTCTTCCAATTAGTGTCCACAGTGTGCCTATTGAGCCGTGTTGAGCGATGAGGGGCGATGAGGGGCTAGCCTCTCTCTGCTGTCAAAATGACACTACACATGCTCAGATTATTTTTCTATTCAATGTGTGCGGCAAACAAATAATCACCAGTGGGGCAAAGTGCTGGCATTCCCACCAAACGTCATCTCATAATTCACAGAGCTGATTGGCTGTAACTACGTGTGCCGCGAAAAGTGTAGATGTGAAGAGGAGACGAGACAGAGCAGTTTATAGCGATTTAAAATCTGTAAAACGGAAAGAAAATGAAGTTGACCATCTACTTCAGCTTTGGTAAGTTACTTTTATGTCATATCTTTTGTTGATCTTCTGTGTGTGTGTGTGTGTGTGTGTGTGTGTGTGTGTGTGTGTGTGTGTGTGTGTGTGTGGTGTGTGTGTGTGTGTGTGTGTGTGTGTGTGTGTGTGTGTGTGTGTGTGTGTGTGTGTGTGTGTGTGTGTGTGTGTGTGTGGTGTGTGTGTGTGTGTGTGCATAGCCGCGGGAAGTAGGGGTGCTGGGGGTGCTGTCCCCTGTTGGCGAGTGGTGTACATTTGAAAAACTGAGTGACCACCTAAATAAAAATGATTAAACTACATAAAATAGTTATGATTTTACGTAAAATAAAATTAGCTGTATACAGTAGCATATAATAGTCATAGTATATATTTGTATATATCAGGGGGCTTGAATTTATTTTCCAAATAAGTAAAATCCGAGTCATCTAGGTCGTAGGTCTTGGGAGAGTGACGTAATTGACGCGACACACATACTGCAGACTGCAGAGTGACAACTTTCTAGAATGGCGCAAAAAAGGACACATCTGACTTTGATGCATGTCCATAGTAACATTTTGGACAATGTGGATGTATCTGCTCTAATGAGGGTCTTCATTAGTGCCACACCCAGGCTACATTTGGAGTTTTGTGAAGCCCCAACACAAGGTAAGACGATTTTTTTTCCTTTAATGCTGCTGCCGCCGTGCAGTGTTTTGCCTTGTCAATCAGTTAAAATTGAATTCATAGTTTTATTAATATTGTAAATAATATTTTCTGACTATTTGTAATGTTATGTAGGTTTGTAAGACCCATAGTTAGCATGTGGGCATGTGCAGCTGTTGCTAAGTGATGTAGGTCTAATGGTTTATTAACAGGGGTGCACATCACTTTTTTGCCCTGGTTCTCAAAGGAGCACCTGGAGATGTTGCTTGGTGCTCATCCTTAAAATGAAATAAACCGTAACTTTTGAGGGGGTCTTGACTTTATTTGCCAGACACACGGCACTGAACACACATGCAGAGGTGAACACAGAACACACATGCAGAGGTGAACACAAGACAACATTAGCACGACCAGTAATCCTACAAGCATCACTACCCTCCTGACTGTTCTCCTCACTGTCTTCCTCTCTGTCAGACATGGTAGCTGATGATGTAGGCCTACTACTTCCTCTCTGGTTGAGTCTGTGATTAGATGCTTGCATCCACAAGTCAACAGCTGGTTTTGGGTCGAAAGTCTCTGTTGTCATCTTAGAAAAGTGGATGTAATCAAATAAGTATGTGAACATAACCAATAACAAATTAATGTAACTTATTTTATTTATGTTGTTCATTTTACCTTAACATTTATTTATGCATTTTTTTTTATCTCTCCAGTTTTAAAGGATATTTTTGGTTACTATCCTATAGTATACATTGGAATGATTTCAAACCTGTTTATCCCAATAATTATAAAGGAGTGCCTTGGAAATATGTGTTTACATAAATTGTGACCAAACCGTTTGAACTTAGACTAAAGTGAACTATCTAAACACTCAGTCCTTACCTCACTGAGCTGTAGTATCAGCCTCTCAGTCTGACTGGAGAGGACTCTCCCTCCACATTATTGTAGAAACATCTTCTTCTTATATCCGTTAAAGCAGCTAGCACCAGATTCTAATAACAACAGCGCCGGTACCGGGCGTTGCGCCCTTCTCTCTCCCTCGCTCACTCGCATTTTGACTGTGAGCTGCGGGCGCCAGATAAGCCAACATCCCCCATTTTCATCACTTACAGCGCCCATCGTACAGGGCAAATGAAACGTGTAACCGGGGTGAAAAGGGTGTTACATTGACTTAATTATGAATATTGTTACATCAAGGCCGAAAATTAGGATGAGCACCTACGGTCAAAAATGCTTTTTTCCCTCCCAGAGCTGCCAGCGCAGCGCCTCCCCAGATCTGGCGCCCTAGGCGAACATCTTTTACGGCCCTGAGTTCATATCATAGGTTCATATGCAACTCGCAAATATATTTATCTCTCTCTCTCTTCTCTCTTTTCTATTCTCCCTTCTCTCTCTTCTCTCTCTCCCTCTCCCTCTCTCTCAATGTTGGTACGCAAATGCGCCTTTTTTCAAATGACACGGTGCTCTTTTTTTGGCGGAGGTGCGCATGCGCACATGCGCACCAGTTATGTGCAGCCCTGTTTATTAAGCCTAGTTAAGGCAAGACACCTCAGGTGAATAGGGTAATTTCTCCAGTTAATTACCTACAATAAGGCAATTGTTTCTTATATTACAAGTTTTCTGAATATGCAAATTACCCATTATCTCATTACATTTGCGCATATTTTAACACATTTCAGGAACCGAAATCTGAACTTTGGATAAAGCCAGGTTCAAAATTCTCGTTAATTTGTAGTCATATTAGCATCTAAGGTTTTCACAGAAGGGATTTTGGATATCTCTCTTTATCAGAAAATATTGTCAACAGCCTTAAAATATCAATTTTCGCCATGTTTCTAGGTATAAAATCTTATATAATTCAGGCTATGAATGATATATGAACAAACCCTTCTGTAAAAGCTTCATAATATTGATAGGAATATAACTGGAAGGTTTGGTGTATGTAGCCTAAGTGCAACTGAAGTGAAAATTTCGGACTCAGAGTAGGAGAAAAAACTCATTTTGAGAAAACAAACTTTAAAGATTGCAGTGAGGCGCTAGCTAAACCCTCTGTTCTTTGGATGATAGCTTGCGCATCGACGCACTCCGTGAAGGTATTTCATGTTCGGGGTCATTTGTGTTTTGTATAACCTTGCTTCGTGCAAGTGACAATTGTTGTTGTCTTCTCTGTGAACGTTTTTTTCGCCGTTCTTTTGCCATTTTGAGATTTACATTTCGAGCGGAAAGCTAACCAGGAAGTGTTTTAGCACACCACGTGATGCATCTGAACGAATCACGTTGTCAGAAATTGACACCAGCCAATGAGATTTCGTTTCTTGGTTTAAGACCCTTTTGTGCTTTCACGATTGGTTGCTGATACAAAGGAAATGACCATATTTGGATACGATGAGATCATTGTGCAGGAGAGACGGAGCTTTCCAACGATGACATTGTGCAAACAGCGGTCGCGGTACTTTATGTTACGTTAGAAATGCTAACTTTTGGTGAATTTAGGAGAAATATACAGATGCAAATAGACAAGCTATAGTAAAATGAACACTTAAATGTGTATTTTGTACGTTTTCCTTCCAAAAGCCTGAAAGAAAACATGTTATGGAATCAAAATAGCACAACATCTCAAAATTGACCAGTGCATGAAAAACGATGTTTTTGCCTGCCGTGTCTCGCCTTTAACAAACAATGTATGCGGCTCGTATCGCTGACAGCCAGGCCCGGCCCGGCACCGCCTTTTAAAAAAGTGTTTAAACGGCTCCATCCCCACTTTTGGCAGCACCCCCTGAAAAAATGACTTCCCGCGGCTATGGTCTGCCCCACTTCTCTGCGCCTCCGAGAGTAACAGCAAAGTGAGATCTTACCTAGAGCAGTTTTGTGTCCAGTGTCCCCCTGTACGCTCTTTCATCTCTCTGGAAAGTAGTCCACTCACAATCTGACAATAATCGCACATATTGCTCGCCTCGAAGTCTACACGAACATCTCCGGCCGGTGTTGCGCTTGGGTCGCAGACGTTCAGGCGTTGTTTGTAGACCCGCCCGCTGTTCAGGGCTTGTTTAAAGGCCAATCTCAGCGTGGTAACGAGACACATTGTGTACCAAAAGCGTCCAGTGCATTTTATATCCCCACTGCAATAACGATGGCAGTTACAACGGGTGTATGTGAGATTAGATGTTAAAAAAGGTGATCGAGTTCCTCTCACCACTCAACCCCATCAAGAAGAATGTCGTAATATTCACTTCAGTACGAAGCAGGAATATTGTAATAAAGTGATGACTTTCAGCACTCTTTCCCATTTTCTATCTCCACATCACCTCTTCAATGGTCATGAATTAAAATTTTCATTTTCATATGGTAATGACACTCATCTCTACTTGGCCGCTAAACGGAATGAAAATGACTACTTTTAATTCCTAAAACGTAGCGCTGCATTTATCCTGGTGAAGGGTTTCCATGAATGTTCTCCTCTGTGATTATCTTTGTACAGAGTGGAACAGAAGCACTGTTTCTTTGACCTTGTTCAACATATGGCTCATCAGCATTGGACGTTTCAATGGAAAGAACATTCACATACACAGGTTGTGCACATGGTGAGTGTTAAAAGGTAAAAGCTGACTACAATTGTTATAAAATATGTAATTAATTTTAAGCAAACTTCTACAAAAAATGCGCATATTGTTATGGCTATTCAAGGTGTTTCAACATCAAACAGAGCTCATTACAAAAGCAGCAT